CACGATCTACATTATCAGCCAAGGCTTGCAATGCAAACACTATATCATCTCTCAACTCAACATTTTTTTCTTCAAGTTTTTCCTCAAGTTTCTCCTCAAGTTTCTTTTCAAACTGTTTGACAGTGTCTTTTAAGGCATCTTGTAAATCTTTCAGTGTTAAAGCTGGCATTGGAGGAGAGGGTGGGGGAGTAGGTTTTGTTTGCTGTGATATCTGTACAGCTGGAGAAGAAGAGCTCAAGCCTTTCTGAGGAGGAAAAGTTCCCCCATGCTTTGAAGCCATTTTACTTTCTCTTCCCCTCTTCTCTGATTTAATTTGTATAATACAATGTCCAATAAAATTTTCTTGAAATTGCCACAAAAAGCAAAAACAAATAGTTTGCTCACCTACAGTACCAATAGCTCTGAAGCAATAATAATCCAGCAGAAAGTGAAAGCCAAAGTAAAAGTCCTCAGTAAATGAAAGTCTCTATTAAAGAGCAAAACGCCCTTCCACGGCCATTTTTCCTTTTTTTTCCTCTTAAGCTTTAAATCTCAATGGAGAAGTTATTAAAATCAGAGCTGAAGGCTCATATCCATGCAGCTCCCAAGCACCTGGATCGCTCTGTCTGCTCCCAAAAGTTACTCACGATCTCCCATAAGCAGAGGTTGAATCCGTGTCTGGCTTCGTTCATAGAACAGAGGCAGCCCGAAGCGCGGAGAAATCCCTGACTCTGGGGGAACTCACCTCCGCCCCCACAGCTATAAAACTGTGAGAGCTCGGGAGTTCTACCCCTATCAGGGAAACTCCCCCCTCCCCTTTGCCCGGGGAAGGGGATTCCAAGCCGCGGAGCAGCTGTTTGACGCTGCTCCTGCGGCTTTTACGCGTCCTCGGGGCGGGCGGTGAAAGGGAAAGCCGCCATCGGCACAGGAATTCAAACCGGAAGTCCGTTTTGTTAAGTTTTTTATGAATTCAGAAAAAATGCTTTTAGAATATTTACATGTAAGATTAAGTATCAATATGCAACAAAGGTCTTTTACACTGAGAAAGAGAAATAAAAGGAAGCAACAATGTGGCTTTAGTACTTACTGAGAAAACCACTTTCTTTAATTGTTTCTATCTTTATTGAAAATATTTGCCAGGCCACCTATCTTAGAGCATAATTCTGTGTGGCTCACAATAGCAATAAAATTACAAAACACAAATTAAAAACCTAGTTCCTCAGTCATTTTCCTAGGATGCCCAACAACCATCGATAGGCTTGATGTCCAGTCTGGTAGGATAGGCAGATACTCTCAGTTTTAATAATATGTGCCACTCTATCCTAGGACCAGTTTCACTGGTGAAAATTAAAGATAAACATCGACATCACATATGCTTTTGTTTCTTGTTTATAGATTTTGTAAATCTTCAGACGCTGTAAATTCAGCATCCTTTAATGATGCTTTACTGATAACAAAGTGGTGTTTAATCTAGTACAAACTGAGGTCTATGTAGCAAACAGTGACAATTTTGAAAATATGAATTAATTTCACACATGTTTGTTCTGGAACTCAACATGATGGAGATAATAACATAAATTAAATGTTAAAAACATACATGTATTACACTGTTTGAAATATGAAAACACTTCTTTTGCTTTTTCCATTATACTGATAAGAAATAGAATAAAAACAAACCTTTATTGGATCAAAATGGTTGAGGAATATACAAACTGGTCTTAGTGAAAGTTCTCTTTGGAATATTGGCCATCTATTTCTAAAACTGCAGGTCCTAAATTATGTGCAACAGTGAACTCAGTGGTATGCCATGGAATATTTTACTACTTAATGAAACTGTTAGTGAGTTCATTATGGTGCCCCGAGGCATATCAAAGCACAGTTTGAGAATTGCTACGTGCACCTTGCCCCAATATTTTAGTGGGGCAATAGAAAAGCTACTGAAGAAGTGAGATATTAATTTCAAGATTTTGAAATATTGTTAGAACTCTCGGAATTACTGGGAACATAAGGTGCTGTCTAAAATGCCCCATCAAATATAATATTAGGTTAAGTGCAGCATACTCCACAATTTAACATGATTTATATATGAATGAACTCATACAGAATTGATTATTTGAAAAAACAATTTTGTCTTTTTGGTATATTAGATTTAAATTTATTTTTGTATAGTAGGTAAAACATTACCTGTTTTATTTCAGTTTTATGTGCTGAACGAGTGGGCCAGATGACTAAAACATACAATGACATTGATGCTGTTACACGTCTTCTTGAGGAAGTAAGTACCTTATGTTCATATGGTATGGTAACATGGCTGTAACACAGTAGTCAACGTTTGAGTCTTTTCAGGCTTCATGAGATATGCAGGATATTGAAATAATCACCACATATTTGATGCTTCTTTAATTTAGCTCCTTGTAGAAGTATTACTGGAAAACTGCTCATTGCTTAATTCCCAACATGCTATTGATTTATTCAATTCTATTTCAGTTCAGTATAATTTATTAGTCTGGTGATGTCCATAAAGCTTAATATTACTAGGACTCTTTTGATTACAGGGTTTCCTTAAAATAGTCTTATAAACATTGAACAACTGCAAGTAACTATTGCTAGAATTCAGAAAACTCAATTAGAATATGTAAAGCCATTGCTTCTGTTCATAACTTTAATTCATAGCTGTTTCTTATTTTTAAAAAAGCTGTCATAAGATTAAAAGTATGTTTTGATCTTTCTGAGCATAGTACTTACTGGCTTAGGCTCAGAGCCTTAAGATTTAATTGCTTCTTGATAGAGGTCAAAGTAGGAAACTAGAAACCAATCTAAATCACAGTTATCAGGTTTCTGCTAGAAATTTGTGCCAAGATGATCAGCTGACCTTTTTTTTTCACTATGTTAAAGGTCCAACCGGCACCTTTTATCTTTACTGAGAAAATCAACATTATGATTGTTATATTGGAACCAATGCTTTGTTTGTGCTCAAATGCATTATTGAAAGAACATTGCCTTAGCTCAATTAAGTATTAGTTGTTGGACTCCAGGCCATCAGTATCTCTTGAAAGTGAGAGGACCACACCCATGATTGTACCTTGTAGATTATAAGAAAGTAAATTATATTAAAGCAAAATAAAACTTCTTTCAACTTACATAAAGTCTCTTTCAGTTCACATAAAATTGCTTACGATATCTGTTGATGGATATGTCCATCTATTTTTTTTTCTATTTGAAGTTTGCCATCACCATCTTCTGAGATGTTTTTTCAATTTCCTAATTAGCCTACACGTCCTCGTATTCCCTATTAATCTCCCACCAATTATTGAAAAGGTAAAGGTTTCTCCTCTTTAGTCATTTCTGACTCTAGGCCGGTGCTCATCTCCGTTTCTTAGATTAGGTAGCCAGTGTTGTCCAAAGACATTTCCGTGGTCATGTGCTTAGCATGTCTACACACTGAGAAGCACAGAACTCTGTTACCTTCACACCAAAATGGTAACTATCTACTCGCATTTGCATGCTTTTGAACTGCTGAGTGGGCAGAATTGGGGCAAGCCTGAACCTGCTTCACTTTTAAGATCAGTTCTGATCAGTCAAATTCTATATAGCAAACGTATAAATTTACTTTAAATTAATTTTTATTATATGCAAATTAAATCAAATTTAGTCTTTGTTCTGGCCCTGTTCATTTTTTTGCCCTAACCTGTTCTAGTTTTTGGAATATAGGCTCCAGCATACCAGTCAAAGCCCAAGGGGGTCACACAGATAAAATTATGTTGCCAGTCCTTGTCTACTAAGTTTATCCAGGGTCCCAAGCTTTGGTGGTTTCTTAATTTAAAAAACCAACAAATTCAAGCATGTTTGAATTATTGGGAATATCCCTTGAATGAAAAGAACAATTTCTCATGTTGCTATGTCAGAAATGTTACTGTATCTTTTTGCATAACCATCCAGAAGCTCATTTATTAGAAACTTTACCGGAAATATTTGTGGTTCCTATAATATCATTGAAAATAACTGCCTCAAATATATGTTCAAATATATTTATTTATTTGTATCCTGCCTTGATAATTTTTAAAAATAATTCAAGGTGATGGTCATTTCCTTTGTGAGCCATAACTCAGATTTCCTTCCTTCCTTCCTTCCTTCCTTCCTTCCTTCCTTCCTTCCTTCCTTCCTTCCTTCCTTCCTTCCTTCCTTTCCTCCCTCCCTCCCTCCCTCCCTCCCTCCC